TTAAATTTGGTGCTTATTTTGTGTTTCCCATCTTGTTATTAAATAACACTATTTTCTCAAGATTCACAGAAATGTGTCTTGTGTTTGTTTAATTTATAAATTGCCACACAAAGTGGAATGCAGCTATGTATACCATTCGTGTAGCCATTTTTCTTAATTTGATTTACATTATGAATTCGAAATTCTTGGAGCGTTTTACTCATTACTTTCATTGCTTGTCGAGTTCTTCAATCATTTCATTATTCCGTTTGCACATTCTGTAAATATTCATTGCATTCAAGGAAGCATTTGCGACCGCTTTTCGCCGAAGGAGAAGTACTCAATGGTGCCATGTTTCCAATTTTTTCCTTCGCTTTTTGCTTTGTGGGGTTACTTTAACGTGTTTTGCTTTTGTTTTCGGCTTCATTACATTGAAGTTTTGTTTTGCCCTGCCATTGCCTTCGGGTGGATTTTATAGTCTGCGTTTTTTTGTTTTAAGTATTTCCCTGTTGTTTTTGCTTGTTTGTGGAAATTAAGCTTTGAAAAATGACTGCACACACAGAGTCGCACAGTGCAACTACTGCACACATAAGTATTTGGAAAATTACTTTCATTTGTGTGTGCTTCGTTTGGGTTGTTATTATCGAAGGAGTAGTAGTATAGTAGTATAGTAGTAGCCTGGCAACTGGCTTAGGTCCTGTCGATCCTTACCCCAGTCTCCTTGCCGACTGCCTTCCTGTTTTTGTGGCTTTCGGAGAAAGCATTTTCATTTATATTTAGTTCTTCTCTCGGCGCTTTTCCTTTTGCCCATTATCAAAGTGCCCTTCCCTTCAGCATTTGTAAATTGCAAAAATGAAATTAAGTTCACACTTTGTCATGTGGGGACATTTACGGTTTTTAATTGTTTGTGCGCTGTGTTGAGCACTTGAGTTGGAGTGCTGCGAACTGGGAAATGGGAAAATGGGGAAATGGCAAAATGGCAAAATGGGAAAAGTGCGGCAAGCGGGGAAATGTTGCCTACTTTTCGGGGTTAAAATGAGTAATGAAAGCCCACGTCCTGTGTACATTAATAATTTCGTTAAATATTTGCCCATGTGTGTGTGCCTTTCTAATTAGAAATTATTCTTGGCATTAAATGAGGGACCCTTTAGTCCTGCAGGCCACTTTGGCTTAAGCTTCCCAGTCTGCATCCTTGATGTCCTTGGAAATTTGTATGTCGTCGAGCTCCACCTGGCATGCAAATGTTCTGACGGTCGTCTGACAAACGCACTTCGTTTCTCGCTCTGCATAATTTATGATTCTCCAACGGTTTCCAACTTAGAAATAAGTATGCAGGTCTTCTTGCGATTGTACTTGCTCAAATATACTCCAGCTACTTTACAATAGCAAACAACGTACCAAGACTTAAATTTGTTTTCTTAAGCAACTGCCTTTATACGTTACAATGTTTGTTGCTTTCTTTAGATACAGAATCCTTCACACCTAAATATTTAACAATCCGTTTGGCCAAGACTTTTATCTTTTTCGTTAATATTTTATCAAACAATTCCCTAAAGACAACGTATTTAGCTGACTCAATCATGTGTAATTTTCGGATGTCTGTATTTTATCTGTTAGAGAGTTTTCCGGACGGTTTGTGAACTTTCCGGGTTTCCCCTTTTTACTCGTTTATTCCTTGTGGGTTTCGTTTTTCTTATACTTTTTCTGTGTTGTCTGGCTCATCAAGTTGTAATCTCATTTGAGAAGGAAACCAATTTTGCAACCGATTTACATTCGCTTGCGCTTTTCGGCGATGGCATCGGGGAATATGCGGTGTGTTTAAGGAGTCTGGTCGCTTATCTGACGCCTCTGACATAATATATGGCGCAGTTCTTATGTTGTGCTACAGACACGGCAAAAAAATTAAAAGCTAAAGTTCGCTGAAAAACATTTTCATGGCGGAAAAAACAAATAAGTTGAAACTATTACTTCAGATGCAGTTAGTTCTGCTTCCTTTGCTTATAAATATTTAAATATTTATAACTATATATTTATTATTATAATTTACAATAAAGCTATATACAAAATAAAATTTGTGCCTGCCTTGTTCTTGATTAATATTGAAATATTATTCTGTTATGTTATGTTATTAAATATAAGATTGATCGTCCTGTTATTACCATCGATTACATAAAAAAACTTTGAGCAATTAAAGTAAAAAAAGAAATATATTTCAAACTAAGTAGTAAATAAATAATATTTAAATTGAAAACATTGCATTTGTATTAGTATACAAAACAAACAAAACCAAAGAACTCCATACAAATTTAAGAGTCAGGTAAAATATATTAGGTAGTATATTTATGTTTAAACGTAAATCATTAAATGAGACTAAAAGCTATTGATGACTTCTTCTAACATAAAAGTTTTCTTCAGAGGTTTTAAATCGATTTAACGAAGCGCTTTGGGCCAAATGAATTTCCCCCTCTTGGGGCTCACTTTTCTCAGTGTACACGTATAGCGCCGAGGTTTAGCTAACTCCTGGCCTGGTCCTGGTCGATCCCCCGTCCACTCCCCGTCCACTGGCAGCAATTACACTCGCCCTATCACCCGGCCTGATGACTTGGCTTTGCTTTCAATTCGGTTGCACTTGCCAAGAATCCCAGAAACCCAAAAAACCCCCGAAGAAAAATGGTAAACAAAAAAGCCAAGCCGCCTGACAAATGGAAAATGAAAAACCAAACCAAACCAAACCATACCAAACCAAACCAAACCAAGCCAAAGCAAAGCAAGGCAAACCAAAAATGTTTTGATATTTGTTTTTGGCCCCAAGACTGTTTTGGCATCGGTGGATGCGGTCAGAGATTAGTTTGAGATTACACAGCCCGCAAACACAAGCCATAAAAATCGGAGAGTAATAAAATAGAAAATAATTAGTAGGGACGACAGGGCGGGCGCTTCTGACAGTTTCCTTGATGTCAAATGGAACGGAAATTGATAGGGACGCGTCAATTTGTAGCCATGTTGCGGATGGATGAGGCTCACTTCCCAAAAAGGACGAAGGATCCCCGGGGACTTGGGCTGTTAAGTGTGGCCGCAGCGAAATTTAATTGCATGCTGAAATGAATTATGAATTGATGAAATTTCGCTTTACGGGCAGTAATTGGAGCGCCCCCTCTATTTCCCATTCGATGGCCATTAAGTGCCCCCGACACGGCCTACAACAACAGCTGTTGCTACATCGCTCGACATGGTTTTCCACACCCGTTTTTCCCAACCCCCCATCCCCATCCCCATTCCCATCCCCATCCTCCTCGATTTTCCCTGCGCAAATATTTGAATTTAGAGGCTGGGCGATGTTCGGCCAACATCGGAGCAATCGTTGCCACTTCTCAGCCTGTTGCTTGCCGCACCCAACAAATAATCCCCCCGCCCCATGAGCCCCCCCCAATCCTTAACCCACTGGCGCCCAGCCGCTCTTTGTGGCTGTCTAACAATGCCGGCAAATGATTAATTTATTGAAATTTACGCTTATTGCCGTTCTCACAAAATTTTTATTTATGCCCTTTTATTTGGACAAGCGGTGCCGATAATTTGTCAAAAAGTCGTAAATTATAATAATACAAAAACCCAAGAATCAGACACAAAAGTTTAAGCTCAACCAAGGAATGAGAAAAGGTGGTGGCTAACTTTATCTTTGCTTTCAAATACACTTACATTTTAGATGTATGCTATTTTTATTGAATTAGCTTTACTTTTCAATACGAAAATTGGTCAAATGTTTGTATATATTTGTATATATATATATATATTTTACCAGTTTCTCAATAAAGTTAGTGCACAGTACATAAGTTCTCGATCATCTGGACGTCGAGTTTTGGGAACTTTGATTTAATTAATATTGCTTTCTTTCTTGTTATATGGATTTTTTGAATTTACCTAACTTCAAAAATGTTAAAACACTTACTTTCATAAAACAAATAAGCGACTAGATAGAAAATCTTATTTTGAAACGTAAATACTTAAGTTTAATGTTTTGTTTATATTCCAGCAGCAAAATAAATAATAAATAATTATAAAAAAAAGTCATTTAGTAGGGTATTACACCAAGGAAACTTCAAAAAGAATATTTGCGTGTGTGTGGGTAAGCTTCAAGAAAGAGAGGGAAACACACGGCCAGAGCGGGAGGGGGATAATAAGAACCGAGCATTCAATTTGCTTGTGGTTTTTTCAGGGGGACGAGTCGAAGAATTGTGGCTTGTGGTTCAGCCGCACGACTTTATGCGTCCACTGTCTTCGTTGGCTGAAGGGCTTTCCCACCCTCATCCCTTACCCCCGCCACTCCAATCATGTGTGTGTGACAAAGATAAACACTTTTCAGCATTTCGACAGCGGCAACGATAACGCCTTCAATTATTAATTATTATCACCGCAAAGCCAAATGTAAAAGCTTCAATTAAAACTTACGCACACACCTACAGGGCAAGGATACCTGAACGCACACACACTAGCGACGACTATGCACTGATAAAAAAAAAAGGCCAGAAAGAATGCTATAGTCGAGAATTATGAATGCCAGATACCCGTTACTCAATCGCCATCCCAATCAAAAGAGAATTGCCAGGATGTTAAGCGAAATCTCTTGAACTTCCGCAACTAAAGCACTTAAATTATATATTTGTTGCCCATAGCACCATTGTTTTAAAGTATATTTAACAAAGACTAAAGAAATCTTAGTTTTTAAAGCTAATTTTATAATTTATAATAAAGAATCATTTTTACAAAATATTTTTTACAAACATTAATATCATAAACAGGCATTTTATTTATTTTATTGACTCCTAAAACTTATTATATTAATATAAATTTCTCATCCAAGTTTATTCTTTCCAAGTGGTTTTTTTCTGTGCATAAACTCACATACAACACATACAAGGAAAAGCAACTGCAATGCTCGACTCATGCCCCAGATTTTATTTTCATTTTATTTTTTTCCCCCGCCCTGTTGTTAATGATTTATACAAGGATTAATTTATACTCACTAATGGATTTCACTTGGCAATGTCCTGCCAGCATTCAATATTATCAATTACTCTGCTTCACAGCCGCCGAAGAGTACGAAGAGTTTGCCTGGGAAAACAAGACGGGAAGGAGGAAAATTAAGCAAAATTAATTATGGCCCAGTAAGCAACATTGCCACACCGCATGCAAATTGCTTGGCATTTATTTGATGGCGATTCTTTTGCATTTCGCTGCGTGGCTATTTTATTGATTTCCCCCCTTCAGGTGGACCGAAATACGGTTGTAAAGTAAAACAAAATAGCTCGAGTGCGAGATCAAACGGCGCTGGCATAAAAATCAACTAATTTGCACACTTTCCCATGCAAAGGTCCTTCGAAGGACTGCAAATAGAGGCGGACAACCGGGAAAGCCCGGAAAAACCGAGAGAAACCGGGGAAGGGCGACGTGATAACGGCTGTCAATAAAATAAATGAGCGCCATTAGCAGCGGAAAATGATGAACACTTGAAAGTGTTTCATCGGCGAGCATCGAACAGACACTAAGACCACGCCCACTTTTCACTCTCCACCGCCCAGGGGAAAAGCGTTGGACGCTGGAATATATACGGAAGTTATCGCAAAGAAAATGGACAGAGGGACGGAGGGGCAATGCCAAGCATCGACTACGAAATGACCCGGAATGCCAGGCAGTGAGGCAAGTGATTTTGTTTGCGTATGGAAATTCACTGGTATCTGATATCCAGCTGGCTAACAACAGAGGAAAATGAGAATTCAGTTAGCCTACTGATAGCCAGAAAGCGGATTTCGCTGCACCAAATGTAATAAAGTTGTAATGCCATTACTTAATAAATAAAATGTACTGTTTCATAAGCTTCAGGCGAACCGACAGATCAAGCTCACTACTTGAATTCAAAATTAAATAATCATACAAGTGTATCTTACATCTTGTATATAAAGTTTTTATTTTGATTAACTCTTAATTAAAATAAACGAAATCAATTTGCATTCTTGAGCTAAATAAAGTGCGTGTCTGTGATCTACAGTAAAATAAAAGAAAAGTCAAGATCTAATCGCTGTAAATTGGTATTTTTCCACTGTGCGTTTTTCTACACCCTGCCAGTTGACTAGATGGCAAGATATTCAGCCAGACGTCTGCCGGTGGTTATTGGAGGGGGTTTTCCGTCCCCCCCCCAGTGGGTGGAAAACGCCTGGTGGGTGGGTAAGTGGGTGGGTGGCTGGTGAGCTGCCGGCGGCAGGATGGCAGTTGTGTGGGTCACAAAGCCGAAGGCAAACAAGTCGCGTACATTTGTGCAAATAAAATTTGCTTGAATAATTTTATGAATGGTAGACAAACTGTTAAGGCAAGAGCAAAGGAAATGGAAAAGCGGGAGAGCGGTGGAGCGGGAGTGCGGGGAAAATGCGGTGAGCAGGCAGCAAACTATATTCCAAGGAAATGCCAGTAAAAAAACGTGGAAACGTCATAGCACGCAATTTATTATAACATCAAAGGGTTAATTGCGCAAATGGGCGAGTGTGCGCCATTTCTTGCGGTGCATTTTCCACGTGCCGCCAAGCTCTCCATGTCCGTGCATGTGTGTGTGGTGTTTAAATAAACGACAACACTTGAAATAAATTGCAGCAAATCAAGTTAAATAAATTGCGCGAATGTGCGAAGCCCAAGGACAAAAAGGCGGCAAGTCGTTATCACTCACACACTCCCACCATGGTTTTCCTTTTTCATGTTATACACACACACACACACACGTCTGTGTGTGTACACTGGCATATCGTCATCTGGAAAGCGGCATTTCTGCGGGCCCAGAATTTTATTTCCCACTATTTTCCCCGCTCCCTTCATTTTAAGATTAATGTGTGGTTGCTACGTGTGCGTTATCAATTACAAGGCATTTTTTAATCAAGGATTTTCTCAAAGGCCAACCATTTAAAAAATAGTTTCAGCAGGCAGACTAATTACCCATCAATGTCTAGAACTGAACTTTGACTTTAATTAGTGGTCTGCACAAAATAAATCTCGTCTGAATAGCGGTTTGAGAGTGACAGTTGAATGCCACCGCATTGGCAACTTCTCTGATTTACTTTTTTTTAACTAGCAGCTAACTTGGTAACAGTTAATTGAGTTTTTAGTTTTATGTTTTAAATGTGGAGGAAAAAAAAGCTTTTTGTATAATTAATCATCAATTAAATTATTAGAAAAAAATACGAAGTTTGTGAGATTCACAATTTGTAGTTCTCTTAAAAAGAGTAAAATATTAAAATGATTAAAACAAAATTCAATTTTATGCCAATTAATGCTTACAATGACTTGATAATGCATTTCCGTCCATGGTGGCTGTCCAAATGATTGGCACTTCGGGCGGTTAAATGTGCATTAACTGCCACGCCCCCTCCGCCAGATTAGTTAGCTCAGGCGTGGCGGGATCAATTAACGGCGCAATTAATAGTGCGTACTCGCTTTCAACATTAATCGTTTGCGTTAATCAATTGAGTTCGCATCACCGTTTATTTCAAGTATAAACTTGTCACATTTCTAGGAATTTTCCCCCAACACTCAGAGCTCTGTTAATTTATTGATTTAATTGTATTTACTCACTGGAACCAAATGCGCACATATGTTCGTCTGGCTTATTTATTTAGCGGCTACTGGGGAACTCTTTCCCCTTTTGTAATTCTGAATTGTAGGTCACACAAAAAATATGTTGAATAATTCAAGGGGGAAAAAACGCTCTAAATATTACAAATAACGAAGGATTTTATTAATAGGATATAGTAGCCATAATATAGTATATATAATATAATATTATTATATACTAAAAAAATGTTTAAACTTTAAATATTTAAATAAAATTCTAATAATATAATTTGAATGTTTACTTTTTAATATTTAATTTTCCATTATAGAAACAAAAAGAATATTGTGAAGCAATAGTTAGTTTCTTATTACTCCGTGTTCAACATTTATGTTTATAGAAAAATCATTCCCCAGTTGCTTTGGCAGAAATTGCTATGCTAAATAAATATGTTTTTCCAGTAAACAAGTTATTCATGGAAAATATAGCGAATTTTACTCCGAGTCCTAGATTTTTTACCATCAGTCCCCAAAGGGAAGTATACTTTGATTAAGTGCGTGCTCCGACATTCCGGCTGGGAGATTGACTCATTTACCCATTTTTGATGGAATGTCGCCAACTAAAATGCCTTCCACTTTCCCGCCCCCCAAGGCTGCCCCGCCCACTGGCCACCGCCGCCCGCCTTTCACATTTTCCCGGCGCCCACCAAGTTTATCGCGTTGTTTGCCTTCTGCGTTGTTTGCCTTTGCCGCTTTGTCAACACAAAAAACGAAAAGAAAAGACTGCATGGAAAAGCGGGGAAGGGACGGGGGAAAGCGGATGAAAAGCCGGGGAAAAGCGGGCTCGAAAGTAAACGAAAAGGGTTGTAAAAACGTAATGGCGAGTTAAATAAAAGAGCGAGCGTGCTGAGGGGGCCAGAAATGTGCCAGCACTCACAGAGGCGAAAAAAAAAATGTACAAAAATATATATTCAAAAGTGTCATAAATGTAATACAACTTTTCCTTTATGACAACTGCATATGTGTTTGTGTTGGCGCGTCGTTCGAGGGCCACTCTCCAGAAAGTTCTCGCCGCCCAATAAAAATAAAAGTAAAAATAGAGTTCAAGTAAAATAAATAAAAAGAAATAAAGAAGGCGGCCAACTGAAAAGCAGAAAAAGCAAACAAAAGTCCCAATAGCGATGTAAACTTTGTCCGCCCGCTCGCTGCACGAGCATGTGTGTTTTTCTATCTGCCATAATGCGTTTTCATTTTCCGAGCTGGGCAATTTTCTCTGGCCTAAGCTTTTAGGCCAGGTAGCTGCATTGCCATGCATGGCCTGACATCGAAACTACCTAAAATGTCGGCGAACGAAAAACACAAACTGAATTACAAATTTGAGAATTGGGCTTGCCAATCGAACGATATAAAAGCTGAATAAATAAAGACCATGTTGGGAGTTCAATAATAGTGGACTTATTTAGCACTAAGCCAACTGCAGAATGTATTCGTTTGCACTTAAGCTCGGACACATTTTTTATTGAAAGCCTACAGTAAGCATTAGCATTGTAAGAACAATGGGAATGTCCTTAAGGACTTAAAACAAATTCATTCGAATTAATAAGTATTGTAGTTTGGAAAATCAACAGTAAAATATTAAAGCTTTCAAATATTTCTTAAACCGTTTATAATGTCAACCAATTTGTATACATTATTATATATGTTTAAATGACAAGCAAAAAACTTAATCAAATCATATGCCACCAAAAGACACTCAATAATATTAAACAGCTCACCAATAAGATCGGATAGCAAGTTGATTCCCCCATTATTTCCAGCTAATTATGTGCACTTATCAATTAAATTGAGCTTATGGCCAATCCGCTTTACAGCCGTAGAACTTGTCTGTCTGTTCGTCTGTCTATGGGTGTGTGTATATATGTGTTTGGCTAAGTGCTCTTAAGTTCTCCAGTGAAAAGGTTGAAAAGCAGTGCAGCTGCACACACCCAAAAGGCAAACAATTTCGCAGGTTTTTTTTATAAAAACTTAAAAATAAATTGAAGATTAAAAATACACCAGCACATGGGAATATGAAAATCTCCTTTATCGAATGTGGAAAACTGGCGGGCGAAAGTGGGCGTGGCTAGTGGCGCCTTGGCATGCAGATTTCAGCCAGCAATGGCGACGTCAAAATGACTGCCTATGGCCAAAAACAAAAAAACGAAAAACAAAAAAGAGAAAAGAAAAAAAGCGGAAACAGAAAAATGCCGCTACTACAACTTCCGCTTCCACATCACTCATACTCACACCCACTCACCGACAGCCACACACCCACACCCACTCACACACTCATACCTGAGCGAATGAGACAGACAGCACAAAAGAACAAGGCAAGAATTGAATCTGCAGTGAAATAAATTAAAAACAACGAAAAAAGAAACGTCGCGGCAAAGGAAAGCAACGAAAGCAAAATGGAGCAGAGGAAGCCGCGAACTGAACTCAGTCAGACATGAAAAAACGACAGTCATCTGAACACAGAGAGA